CTGTAGCCCGTAATGAACTTTTGAAACGGAGATTGCTCCCTCTAACAAGCAAACTCAGGTATGGGGTGCAAAAACTGGGCCACTGAGAAACAAGAGGGGAGGTATCAGCAGGTACAAGGGAAACCTGAGACTTGAAATAAATGAAGCAGAGGCTAATAAGGGGCCCACCATGTTAATTAGAATACTGAAAGCCACTCGAAGGGCGCAAATGAAAAAAGGGGGCATGACTGCTGGATAGAACCAAGATCAAGAGAACTGCTATTAGGAGAGGAAAATACATTGCAATGTTGTTATGGTTGCCCACTATCTATCTATCTATTTATTATTAATAGTAGTAGTAGTAATGCATTCTAGTATTTTATGTCCCTTCGTTCAGGCTCTTTAATACATTGAAAGAGCCTTAATGACAGTGACAACAACAGCGTATCCCAGCGATACTTCCTAGCCTTTTAGGTATTTTCGTTCTGATTCCAGGAGTGGAATTAATCATCTGTTCTATTACTTGGTGGGAGATTTCTGGTCAAAGCAGTTCAAGGAGCCTTCTCATGATCAGCCAGCCTAATTTGGCTACTCCCCCAATGAGCTTCAACAATGCTTTGGTGCTCACTTACGTATGTTCACAGTGTATGGGCCCCTTTCAAGACCACAAGTATTTGGGTAGATGTGTTTTATTCCACTGTAGCAAGTTAATTAGGAACGTTTATTAGCGGGGCTGGAATGTAGACACTGTGAAAGAAGATTAGAGGGACTGAGACTCTTTAACTTAGATCAAGAGGTTCATATGGTAAGCCTCGCTTCATCAAAGGGGGGGAAATGGCTCTGGCCTTCCCACAATTCACCTCCCACACACAAACTTTTCATGAAAATATCTGCCTGCAGTTCTGCCCTCTTGCCACCTTAATCCAGCAGCAGTTGGTGGCTTGTGAAATATGAATCTGCAAGGAAATAGCAATAAATATGCTTTCTTACAGTGCAATGTTTCTTCATATGCATCTTTTACACCAGACGGAAATTCACAAACACACACAAAACAGCCCATGAATCCACCTTTGCACATACAGTCGTTTCTGGATACCTGTAGTAGCAACAGGCTCCAACATCCACTACAGGGATCCAGTTATAACCCATCTTCCTCCAAGGAGCTCCAGGCAACATACATAGATAGCAATGGGGTACCTCAAGCAAGATTCATGGTAATCTTCAACCTCACGGATGAAGCTTAGCCCATTATGGTACACTTTAAAAAAAAAATAAAAATGTTTATAATCAAATGTATGACCCTGTCCCAATGCATTTGCTTCAAACACCTTTCCCTCCAGAGATCAAACACGAAACTTTTTTTCTATGGGTGCCACACAGCAGCCTGGTTTGCACGTTACATTAAATCATAGTTATAACAAGCTATGGTTTACTGTGAACAAGCACCATGCCGGCACACACAGCTGAAATCACGGGCACTTTGTTTGTGCCTCTCACGTGGACTTCATCTTGTGGTTAGGTTTTCTCCCCAAAGGAATCATGACCAGGTGTCAATATTTCTTCCTGGAGTTTGTTAGAAGGAAAAAAACCAAACCAAACCAAACCAAACCAAACCCTATGTGTTCACCTGTAACAACAGGTCAGATTACACCTTGTTTCCTCAGCAGCAAAAACAAGCGCATGGAAACAGAGAGGCACCCATTATTCCTGTGTTGCACCAGCATGCTCTTGATTCACATTAAACCACAGTTTATTTTAACTATGGTTTAATGTGGCGGGAACCAGGCTGGTGGAGCAACCATGTGAAGAGGTCATAATGGGTTGGACTTCCTGGAAACGATTAAAGTAGCAGCTGGCTATTGTTAAGAGTTGGGCTGACAAACCTTCTTTCCATTCAGTATTATTATTTTTCTACTAAGGGATCAGCAATTCGTTCAACATTGTCTGCTACAGGGTACAGCTCCTCCATCATTGGCTCAGTGATGTTTTGTGCTTTTGTCTCAAAAGCAGCCCACTGATTCCTTTCCAAAGCATTATGAGTCTGTCCTGAGGTGGAATATCCAGAATGTGATTAAGTACTTAACACAGGGCTGTTACAGAAGGGCCCCAACAGTAAGTAATTGACTTGGAAAGAGCCTCAATTGAAATAACTCTTCTCAACAAATCTGGCACTACTTCCAAATACAGTTTTTGCCAGTGCATACACGATACTACTTACACACAGATTCTCTTCAGAAAACGTGCATGAATTCTTGGCTTCCGCTACAAATCCCTCTTCCCCCAATCCATTAAGTTTTTTCAAGGGGGAACCCTCAAACGCTTCTATTTTTGAAAAGCAGTGTTTGGGGGCAAATTTCAGAAAGGAAGGTCCTGAAAACATACGTTCACAGTTCAGAAATCAACATCTCATTATGGATTCTGACTAAACCGCTCCGAATTCAAGCCTGTTTTGTTTTATTTTATTTTTAAATGGGTTTCTTGTTTTCATCACCTCCAGCCAGCCTTCCCTCTCAAATGGGCACAGGAAGCGACACTGCCCATTCCTCACATTGGGAAATTTTGTCTAAAACGTGACTGGCGAGGTGGTCACGGGCACATTCCCCAAAAAATAAGTCATCAGCCAAAAAGGAGAAGAAAGGGCGCGCGGATTTGCTTATAAAATGGGCATGCTAGTTTTCCCCTGAAAATTTAGAAATAACTACTGTGTTTTAGTGGGACACGGGTGGTGCTGTGGATTAAATCACAGAGCCTAGGACTTGCCGATCAGAAGGTCGGCGGTTCGAATCCCCACAACGGGGTGAGCTCCCGTTGCTCGGTCCCTGCTCCTGCCAACCTAGCAGTTTGAAAGCACCTCAAAGTGCATGTAGATAAATAGGTACCGCTCCGGCGGGAAGGTAAACGGCGTTTCTGTGCGCTGCTCTGGTTCGCCAGAAGCGGCTGAGTCATGCTGGCCACATGACCTGGAAGCTGTACACTGGCTCTCTTGGCCAATAAAGCGAGATGAGTGCCGCAACCCCAGAGTCGGCCACGACTGGACCTAATGGTCAGGGGTCCCTTTACCTTTACCTTTTACTGTGTTTTTAAACAGGAATACAATGCATCTCACCACTGTGAGCATGGAAGTGTGTGTCTGCTCTGTCTGCCATTCAGGTGGGCACCTCCAAAGCCCGCCTGCTCTCTCTTCTCAGGGCTCTCGGACTTGCACTTCAAGGATGCCTTCGGACAGAACAGGTGAGGAGAACATTTGGCCCTTCAGATATTGCTGAACTACAACCCCCATCCACCACAACAAGCATGGCTAGTGGCAAGGGGTGATAAGAACTGTAGTTCTGCAACTTCTGGAGGGTGAATATCTCCCACGCCCGAAACAAGAGGATTGCCCTGTGGCAGCCCTTCAAATAGAGGACTGTCCTCTGTAAAGGAGGACACATGGGCACCGCTGAAATGTGCTGGAGTTCTGGAAGCTCCTTCCTGCCCCCCCTTGAGGGATTGTTACATCCAACTATTTCAACAGGCATTTCCAGGTCAGGGTTATTGTCGTTGCTTCAAAAAAGTTTCTCCTCCTCCTTCTTCTTCTTCTTCTTCTTCTTCTTCTTCTTCTTCTTCTTCGAGTTTTGCAGTGACCTAGATACCCAGCGGCAGCTGAACCATCAAAGGGCTGGGGAAAGGCTTGCAAAAAATATTTGCACTCCGGGATTTTTTCCAGCTGGAACTCACAGGAACTCACTTCTCAGGTGAGCACCACTGCCATTCTAAGAGAACAAAGGAGGCCTCGTTCATGGTGAGTTTCTTTTTTTTTCTTGGTAAATCTTTATTGATTTAAAATACAAACGTACAACGAACTTAAGTATAGAAGAGTTAAATACAAAAGAAAAAAACATCAAGACATAAAGGTAAGAAAAAATTTAAAAAGAAAGAAAAAAACCCAACAATTTATACAAAATCATATCCATCAAATAAAAAAATTCTGCATAAAACTTCCAATCGTTCTTATTATACTATTTCTATTGTCATGGTTTCGTCGCACAGCTTTACTTTATATCCTTTCTCATACATTCCACTAAAGTATACGTTTCATTCGTTTTTGTTCACAAGTATCATTCAAGTTCTGCTAAGATGGTATTTCAGCACCTCTTTTTCCATAAAAATAGCACCATTTGCACCCCTGCCCGCCAGCAGAAACAAGGCCTCTTGCACCTGCCACCAGGACTGGAGCCACCAGAATTAGGAAGCCTTGCCACAGAGAGTGTGCAGTATTTTAAATACACTGTGAACTGCCTTTAAAAACTTTGATTGGTAAATATGAATATTTCAGCTGAAATAAATAACTGGATGAATTTCAGCTTCTAATCTGCCCTACCCATTCTGATACCCTCATTAATAAGCAAGGGTGCCAATGCATCTCGATATAATATGAAACTTTATATTTTTTTGGGAGGGGGGAATGTATCAAGACGCTGCATTCGCCTCCCCCACTTGCGATGCAGTGTCATCCTGCCGTTTGAGGCTGTCAGAATTTCCTCACTTAGGGAGGCACACAGAATCCCAATTGGACAGGGCTGTCAAGTCCATCAGTCATCCTCTTGAATGAAACAATGCTGTGTTAAGGCAGAGGGAGAAGTCTAAACAGCTGAATATTTTTAAAGGGTGCTTTTTTGCTGTTTTTGAAACTGCCATGCAGTTTCCTTACTCCTCTGCCCCTCTTTTGAAACACAACAGGGGACAGCACACTTTATCCCAAAGTAATGAATGCATACCATTCTGAGAACACAAATGCCAGCTTCTTGCTTGGCAATCATCGGTCAAAGCAGTCCTAATCCTGCAAGAGGAACAGGGCTGAGGAAGCGGTGCATGGGCTAGTTCTTATCTGCCCACTTGCCTCCTGTACCCAGAAGAGCCAGTAACAGAGCAGCCCACAAGAACATGGGCACATAGCTAACTCATAGCCATGGCAGAATTGCAGAGTTGGAAGGGACCATGAGGGTCATCAAGCCCAACCCCCCTGGGATGCAGGAATCTTTTGCCCAACATAGGGCTTGAACCCACAACCCTGAGATTAAGAGCCTCATTGCTCTGCCCAATGAGCTATCCATAAAGCTCTTCTCCAGACCTTGAACTTTTACTATACAAACTTGGACCCAACTTGGTACTTGTGCTGAATTTTAATTTTAATTTTCTACTTGCACTGGGAGAGACAGTGTGGTGTAGTGGTTAAGAGCGGTAGCCTTGTAAACTGGTGAACCGGGTTCGATTCCCCGCTCCTCCACATGCAGCTGCTGGGTGACCTTAGGCTAGTCACACTTCTCTGAAGTCTCTCAGCCCCACTCACCCCACAGAGTGTTTGTTGTGGGGGAGGAAGGAAAAGGAGAATGTTAGCCGCTCTGAGACTCCTTAGGGTAGTGATAAAGCAGGATATCAAATCCAAACTCTTCCTCTTCTTCTTCTTTACCTCAGCAATTCAATCACCATCACCAATAGCTGTACAGTGGTACCTCAGGTTAAGAACTTAATTCGTTCTGGAGGTCCGTTCTTAACCTGAAACTGTTCTTAACCTGAAGCACCACTTCAGCTAATGGGGCCTCCCGCTGCCACCGTGCTGCCGGAGCACGATTTCCTGAAGCAAAGTTCTTAACCCGAGGTACTATTTCTGGGTTAGCGGAGTCTGTAACCTGAAGCGTCTGTAACCCGAGGTACACTGTATCGCTAACAGCAAACCCGTTCTCCTACCCTATGTAGGGCCCTGTGGATACCTGAGGAATATTAGGCAATCATCCTAAACATTATCGCTGTGTTCTGCGCAAGATGGGATGTCAGGGAGACTCTTGACATCAGCAGGTCACAGTCATACTCTCTGACCCCTATAAAGGTCTATATGGGCCCTGCTTCCATATTAGTTTTTAAAAACTAGATTATTCTAACCTTGCTTCTAGTTGGTAGCTACAGCTTGCCATCATGCCCTGCCCTCAACACAATTTAACAGTGTGACACACCCCTCAACTGTCCTCAATTAAATCAGGCTATCCCATTTTCATGGGACGCAGGTGGCGCTGTGGGTTAAATCATACAGCCTAGGACTTGCTGATCAGAAGGTCGGTGGTTTGACTCCCCGCGACGGGGTGAGCTCCCGTTGCTCGGTCCCTGCTCCTGCCAACCTAGCAGTTCAAAAGCACCTCAAAGTGCAAGTAGATAAATAGGTACCGCTCCGGCGGGAAGGTAAACGGCTTTTTCGTGCGCTGCTCTGGTTCGCCAGAAGCGGCTTAGTCATGCTGGCCACATGACCCGGAAGCTGTACACTGGTTCCCTCGGCCAATAAAGCGAGATGAGCGCCGCAACCCCAGAGTCGGCCACGACTGGACCTAATGGTCAGGGGTCCCTTTACCTTTACCTATCCTATTTTCATGCTCTGTGCTCTAACGTGGGTCATGTGACTTGCATGCGAGCACGGCCCAGAAGATGTGCGTCTTGGTTTTCGGCTGCAACATGTTGGAGGGCATGGGGTGAGCTTGCCAAAATATGCGCCCTACAGAACACTGAAAGGCATCTCTAAGTTTGGGCAAAGCCTCTGACTCACAACTGTATCTGCAGAGAAGTTTGGAGCCACTGTGAGTTATGCAAGTTGTCAAACAAAAGGGTAAAAATTAACTAGCTCATTAGGCAAAAGAAACAAACTCGATCAATTATATATACGGAGGGATAAACAGCCTTCATCTGAGACACCCACACTGCCATAAGAAAAATAAATTTGATGAAACATGAATGCATACATCAGGGAAAACTGTTATAAACATTTTCATCAACTTTCTCTGGGAAATGGTAGAACAGTTTCTTTTCTTTTTTTCTTTTTTTGTATAATTAATCACAACAAATCTTTAAAGTAATAAATCAGCACCATGAAGCAAAATCTCAGCAAATGCAAATACTGAGCACTAAACAGTTTTTAAAAGTTAACAACCACCACTGAAACTGACTCTCTGGTCTGAACCTGTTGGTTAGTCTTCCACAACCTGGTTCCCTCCAGATCTTCTGCACTATAATTCCCATCACCCCTGACCACTGGCTATGCTAGCTGGGGCTAATAAGAATTGTAGTCCTACTCAGAGGCCACAATGAGCTCAGTGTGACTTACCCACCTTCTGTTTCTAAATAGTAGATCTGTTATTTACTGACTGCTACCATGTCTCCATCTCCTCTGGCTTCACACATAGGCTAACAAATTCCTACTAACCTTTCTCTTAATCACCCCCCACCAATACCTGAAAGTACAGATTGCCAACTTGATTTTCCACCAAGGCTCTTGAGCTCAACAGCAAACATATGGACATTCTGTGGGGAGAAACTGGAGACTGTCCAAGGTATAAAAACCAAGCTGGAAATAAAGGTGGCAACCCTACTCATTGAAGAGGAAGAGCAGCAGCGCGGCAGCAGCAGGAGGCCCCATTAGCTAGAGTGGTGCTTCAGGTTAAGAACAGTTTCAGGTTAAGTACGGACCTCCAGAACGAATTAAGTACTTAACCCGAGGTACCACTGTATTTTAATATTTTGTTGGAAGCCACCCAGGGTGGCTGGGGAAGCCCATCCAGATGGGCAGGTTATAAATAAATTATTATTATTATTATTATTATTATTATTATTATTATTATTATTGAAAAGGTTAGCTTGCAAGAGAACCACATTGTTAGAGGGAGGGAAGGGTGGGTGATGCTTCAGAGAGACGGTCGGTTGGAGCCCTGCAATACTTGGTCTCTGCTTGCCTCTCCCCCCCAGCCAACAGCTGATTGGGTCGCTGAAAAGGGGGCGGAGCAAGAGCCAGCAACAAAAAAGGGGGTGTCACCCTGGCACAGGAAGCCCACACAGGGTCGCAAACCCCGCCCCCTGCTTGGATGAGTGAGCGGTAATTACTGTGTCGCAAAATGATGCAAAATTGAATTACCGTGTCACAAAATAAAAGTGTGTCAGCAGCATGAAAAGTCTGGAAAGCTCTGCTGTAGAGCATGAGACTCTTAATCTCAGGGTTGTGGGTTCGAGAGCCATGTTGGGCAAAAGATCCGTGCACTGCAGAGGGTTGGACCAGATGATCTTCATGGTCCCTTCCAACTCAACCATACTATCTATGATTCTATGATTCTCCATCGTTACTTGGGTCTTTCACAAACACCATGCATCTTCAGAAATTCCCAAATAACATGCCAGAACATTCCTCCGTTTCCAACTATTAGTTGCGCAGCTCTGCCTGACCATTAATTTCGCAACAACAAAACTCTGATTCACGCACCACAAGTCAAATACAATCCATCGCGCTGCAGTGTGACCAAAAAACGGAACCTAGGATGCACTCTGCAGATGGGAACAGATTTGATTATTAATTGCTGAGGTAATCAAACGCAGGGAACAGATTTAGTCCCCGAGCAAATGGTGTCCTCAAATTCATGTAAGTGAATGACTGTGCTGGGAATGAAGCATGTCCGGACAATGTTGTGATATCAGCGGGGAGAGAAAAACCACACTCCCCACAGCATTTAATTGTTGGATTTGATTATTTATATCCTGCTTTATGCTACATAATTCAAAGGGGCTAATAAATAAAGTCATTAAAATGTCAAACAGCTAAACTATCTGGTCATGGCAATATTATCATATCCTGAATACCAAATACGGAGGGAGGGTAGAAGCAATGTCCTGTTCAGGTTTAAGTCCATCTTAGGTTCAATTCACTTGTACGCCTCTTTTCCAGAAAACAATCTTCATCAAATGCCATACAACGAAGAACATTCAATATGAATAAGCATTAATAAAATCTAAGAAGTCAGCACACTGCAAAAAACAGTCATAGAATCATAAAGAGTCATCTAGTCTACCCCCTGGAATGCAGGAATATTTTGACCAACATGGGTTTTGAACCCCAAACCCTGAGATTATAAGTCTCATGCTCTTCCGACTGAGCTATCCTAGTCATGTGACTACAACACAGATACAGACGTAATTTTATTAGTATGCCATCTTTCCACAGCTAAAACCACGCTCAAGGCAGGCTACCACGTGAAAAACTACGTAATTACAAACCTAACAAAACTAGTCATAATTAAAACATCAAAAAGTACACCGCCACATTAAAACAATTTCCACATAAACCACAATGGCATCTAAAATAAAGATGCAAAAAATAAGAATATCAATAGCAGCAACAACCTCAACCCTGCAACAAACCCCATCCAAACAATGCCCCAGCCCAAAAGTCTGTTCAGCACCTCAGCTTTTGTAGCTGGAGTCAATCCATGCTCCACCCTCCCAGGCCAGGTGGTAAAGGCCAGCAAGGCAAGGAGCAGGTCTTCCAAGCTTCACAGCTGAGATGTTACCCAATAACCATCAGGCAGACTGCTTAATGTTTCACAAAACCATTCCCACAAGGCCAGATGTTGGTAACACTCCCCAAACCCTTGTGGTGAATAACATCCACACATGAGTTAACAGCAAATACGGAAGGGTGCAGATGGTGCTCTCAAAGAAGCAGAGCAGAAACATTTTAAACTTCAACCAAATAAGCAATATACATTCCGGCATACGCAAGGATGGAGAAAAGAATTTCACACACTTACATTTTATTGTTTCCAATTCATACCTGAAAGCAAGTTGACGTCGGCATTGCATTGTTCTCCTGACAAGTTCAGAAATGTATCTGAACGCATGTCATCTTTTTCAGGACTGTAACGGCCAAAACGACGGGAAGTGAATAACAAGACGAAGAAAACGCTATATAGCATAGAGACTGGAGCACTATAGAACAGCGTTTGTGAACCCTGTGAGCTCCACCTGATTTGGACTATAACTCCCATCAGCCCCAGCCACCTCATTACTTACGTAAAATTCCACCACAGTGGACAGGAGGGTTAGCATGGCTTTTGTCAGAAGCCGAACTGCAGCAGAATGGAAACAGCACAGCATGGGAATGAACAGAGGTCACATTAGAAATCAATGACTTCTTACATCCCTATTTGCAAGAAGGCTGATAGCAGGCAGTCGGAGCCCTAACAGAGCATCTTCTCTTGCTGGGGTTAGGACTGGGACTGCAATTTCCTTTCTGCCACATGTTCTTTCTGTCCTCACCTCACTGCCTCGGTCCAGTATACCTGAAGGAGCGTCTCCACCTCCATTGTCCTGCCCGGACACTGAGGTCCAGCGCTGAGGGCCTTCTGGCGGTTCCCTCACTGCGAGAAGCCAAGTTACAGGGAACCAGGCAGAGGGCCTTCTCGGTAGTAGCGCCTTCCCTGTGGAATGCCTTCCCACCAGATGTCAAAGAGAAAAATAACTATCAAACTTTTAGATGACATCTGAAGGCAGCCCTGTTTAGGGAAGCTTTTAATGTTTAATAGGTTATTGTATTTTAGTGTTCTGTTGGAAGCCGCCCAGAGTGGCTGGGGAAACCCAGCCAGATGGGCGGGGTATAAATTATTATTATTATTATTATTATTATTATTATTATTATTATTATTATGATGCCATGGCTGACTGCCTCCTTCACATGCCCCAAGGCAGAGGGAGTTGTGGCAGGAGGGAACTGGAACCCTGTACGTTTTGCCACCAATTTGACTGAGGCTACCCGTACTTCGACAAGCCCTTAAGATTTTCAAGGAGGAAAGCTGAAAACATGGTGTTTGAAACCAAGAGGCTGATTTTCATGGAAACTGGTCTGGCCATTTCTACTACCCTATTCCTAGAAGGTGTATTTTTATTATTATTATTAGAGATGGCAGGAGGGATGATTTACATGACAATGGAATTATTTCAATGTTTCGCTCTGTGTGTGTGTGTGTTTAAAGAAACTCACAATCCCGAGCGGTGGCTTTGTTTGTTCCAGTTTTTGTGTGACACAGCAGGCCGGAAGAATGATCCGATAAGGTGCGCAGCTAATGCAACATGAGGAAAGTTGATAAATGGGAGTCAAACTGGGAACATTACAAGCGAGGGCGAAAAAACACAATTCACGGGAGCAGAATGCTACTGCACGCCTAAATATAATAAAGCGGTTGCCTAGCGTACAGACTATGAGCTATGGAAATAATCTTAAATCAAGTGAGTTACTGTTTCTTAGCAATTTGAAAGAAAGGGAAAAAACAGTCTAATTGGCAATCAAGTGCTCCTCCGGGAGTTTCTAAGCAGCCAGCTCAATTTGTCGGCACGTGCTAAATTCGTCTGGGGCAGATCCTGACACAGCATAAACTTGCAGAGACAGTTTCACGTTTGATGTGAAGTCAGTCGGAAGGAATGTGCGTGAACAAAAAGGCACATTATGGCTAGATGTAAATATAGTCCATTGTCCAAAACCTTGTCAAGACACCAACTATTATTATTAAGCAAGGCCTAACCTCTTCTTCCTTGGCAACCCCCCACATCAAAAAAACCAACCACCACCACCCATATTTAACTTTGCATTAAGCAGCTTGAAGCTGCCACTTGTGTCATACTGCTACTATCTATATCTATATCTATATCTATATCTATATCTATATCTATATCTATATCTATATCTATATCTATATCTATATCTATATCTATATCTATACAGTGGTGCCCCGCAAGACGAATGCCTCGCAAGACGGAAAACCCGCTAGACGAAAGGGTTTTCCGTTTTTCAATGCACTTCGCAGGACGAATTTCCCTATGGGCTTGCTTCGCAAGACGAAAATGTCTTGCGAGTCTTGAGATTTTTTTTCACTCCCCCCCCCTTTTTCTAAGCCACTTAGCCTTTAATAGCCTTTTAGCAGCTAAGCCGCTAAGCCTTTAATAGCCGCTAAACCGCTAATAGCGCTAATCCGCTAAGCCACTAATAGGGTTGCTTCGCAAGACGAAAAAACCGCTAGACGAAGATACTCGCGGAACGGATTAATTTCGTCTTGCGAGGCACCACTGTATCATCTATATCTATATCTATAAAGGTAAAGGGACCCCTGACCATTAGGTCCAGTCGTGACCAACTCTGGGGTTGCGGCACTCATCTCGCTTTATTGGACGAGGGAGCTGGCGTACAGCTTCCGGGTCATGTGGCCAGCATGACTAAGCCGCTTCTGGCACACGGAAATGCCGTTTACCTTCCCGCCGGAGCAGTACCTATTTATCTACTTGCACTTTGAGGTGCTTTCGAACTGCTAGGTTGGCAGGAGCTGGGACCGAGCAATGGGAGCTCACCCCGTTGCGGGGATTCGAACCGCCGACCTTCTGATCGAAAAGTCCTAGGCTCTGTGGTTTAACCCACAGCGCCACCCGCTATATTTATGTCTATATCTATATCTAATCTATACAGTCATACCCCGGGTTACAGACGCTTCAGGTTGCGTTTTTTCAGGTTACAGACGCGCCAAAACCCAGAAGTACCGGAACATGTTACTTCCAGGTTTCAGTGGTCACGCATGCACAGAGGTGCTAAATCGCGCTTTGCGTATGCGCAGAAGCGTCGAATCGCAACCCGCGCGTGCGCAGATGCACCGCTGCGGGTTGCGAATGTGCGTCCTGCACATTTGCAACCCAGGCATCCACTGTATCTCTATATATCTATATATCTCCAGGGCTTTTTTTCAGCTGGAATTCACCAGAAGTCAGTTCTGGCATTTCTCAGGAGGGCGTCATTGTCATTCTAAGAGAACAAGGGAGGTGTTCATGGTGTAGTCTGACACCTCTTTTTCTAGTAAAATAGCACTGGATATATATCACACATCCTTCAGGGTGCTCAGGTTAGGCAATACAAAATTCTCTTCCTCCTGTGTTATCCTCATAACTCTAGATGGACGAAGGTGAGAGGCAGTGACGGGTCCAAGGTCACCCAGTGAGCTTCATGGCTAAGTGTTCAGATCTTCACAGTCCCCATTTTATGTTCTAACCAGGTTATCACTAGACCTTGCTCACCTATGGCGAGTAATAATGGACTCCAAGGGACCAAGTAAGGAAGCTTTGTCCTTTTTTTGTTTTTTCTTTCCACGATGTGTGGCAGTATGTTGGAAAACAATATATCTTCCAGCTAGCATTTATTTGGACCTTTTGGTTCTGGTATTCAGGAAGGCCTAAATACTTAACCTTCTTCAAGTGCCTTTCGTTCAGAAAATATTGATGATCCAATTCTATATCTCTCATAGTCTGTATTTATTCCATGATTCATATTCTGTCTGAGGTACTACTACTACTACTGCTACTAACAATAATAATATTGTCATATTTCTCTCTCTCTGTACACTACTTTGTCAGGGCTGACCCCGAAAAGCAAGTAATAAATAACTGGAACAAATAAATAAATAAGACAGGGTACTTAATTTTTATTTTCTGTTGATTTAGCTGTAAGACAAATTTATTTAAACTGTTTGTATCCTGCTTCTCCTGTCTCCCCCCCCCAACATATACCAAAACTAGCCTATAAAAGCTACATATACATATACGTATATACATAAATACATGCATACATACATGTGTGTTTGTTTGTTTGTTTGTTTTTCCAGTGCTGGTTTAGCACTGAAGAGCAAGTTTTCCTGGGGAAAGCAGCAAAATGAAGGGAAAACTTCTTTCTTCCTCTGAATATCTTTCAAAGGGAAGAAGAAGGTAGCAGCATTCTAAAGCTCATTTCAAAGACTTGGGGCCAGTCCTGAAAAGACCCTGCTCCTTCCTTCTACAAAAACACAGGCAATGAGAGGCTGCATAGCCTCTGAAATGCGTTGGCCTGAAAGGTGACAGTGGGTTCTTCCAGTCACAACTTTGCAACTCCAGAAATTAACAACAGTAAAACTTTCTCTGATCCTAAGCCTTTATGCTTTTGGATGGAGGAAACGCCTTCTGCCAAATCCTACTACTTTGATTAAGTGTTTTAGCCATTTGGGTTCGTTTGTCGGTTTTCCTGACAATTCAGCAGAAAAAGGAGGGTGGGGGAAAATAGAATCCTGAAGCAGAAGAAATCAAATTACTTAAGCAACAATGT